GCTATATTTATCTCTGGTTCCATGCCAGCGGGGAGGGTTTAAATGGCACCCAGCAGTTGGCGTGAGGGGCTGCAGGAGCTTGGGGGCCAGTGGCAGGAACAAGTCTCTTCCGACCCCATGGAGCTATATGAGACATCCCCCTACTTCTACCAGGAACCCCACTTCTATGACGGGGAGAACTACCTGCCCGTCCACCTCCAGGCCTTCGAGCCGCCAGGCTACGAGCGGACTGAGCTCAGCCTGAGCCCTGAGGCCCGAGGGCCCCTCGAAGACAAGGGGCTGGGGACCCCCGAGCACTGCCTGGGCCAGTGCCTGCCGTGGGCCTGCAAGGTGTGTAAGAGGAAGTCGGTGTCCGTGGACCGGCGGCGTGCGGCCACACTGAGGGAGAAGCGCAGGCTCAAGAAGGTGAATGAGGCCTTTGAGGCTCTGAAGAGGAGCACCCTGCTCAACCCCAACCAGCGGCTGCCCAAGGTGGAGATCCTGCGCAGCGCCATCCAGTACATCGAGCGCCTACAGGCCCTGCTCAGCTCCCTCAACCAGGAAGAGCGTGACCTCCGGTACCGGGGCGGGGGCGGGCCCCAGCCAGGGGTAAGTGAGCGGTGCCCCCCCAGCCGCCCCAGGGGGAGGGGGCGCAGGAGGCCCCTGGACGGCTTCGGGACCCCAGTGTGGGGTTCAGTCAGAGGGTTGGAGCAGTGGGGTCTTGGGGGCTGCAGGACCCCCTCCTTCCTCACAGCTGGGCGGTCAAGTTGACCTCCTGTGTCCCTCTATCCTTTCAGGCCAAGCTAAAGGCCACAAGGAGAAGCAGAGGTGGAGGGGGGTGGCAGAGAACAGAAGGACGGGCGGATCCAAGAACAAGTCCAGAGTCAGCCTGGGTGGGAGTGAGAATTAATCCCAGCGCCTAGGGATGGGGTCCAAAAGGCAAGGCCAAGCATCGCTTTGCCCCACCACCCCATCTTGAGTGTGGCTGAGCAGAGGCAACACCTACCCAGGGTCTCTCAAGAACCCCAGCGGGCCTGCACCTGCTTCCTTCACCTTATCCTTCACCCTTATCGTAAGGTCAGGAAAACCAGGAACCCTTTTAAACCGGGTGTCCTGTGAGGACAGAATCGCCACCCAGAATGGAGGACAAGAAAGGCCTGGAAGTAGGGGCTCTGTGGCCAGGCAGGGAGCGGGGGCATGAAAGTTGCTGATGGGGAAGATCCTGAGGCCAGGGGCGCCCCGGGCTGGAGGGCTGCAGCCTGTGGCCCACCCTCCAGCCCCACAAGGGGAGCTTTTGCCCATTGGAACTGGACAGAGAGACACCATCAAGAATGGCTGTGCTCTGACCTTGGGCCTTCACCCTGTCTTGCAGGTGCCCAGTGAATGCAGCTCCCACAGTGCCTCCTGCAGTCCAGAGTGGGGCAGCACATTGGAGTTTGGTCCCAACACAGGGGGTAAGTGAGACCCGGACCCTCATAACCTTGGCTTGACCCCATCAGCCTGTCTCTAGGCCCAGTTGTCTCCTTTTACCTTGCTTCTTGCTCCAGTCCTCTTGCCTTTGGCTTCTCCAGGGAACTGCTGAACCCGGGATTCCAAACGCTGGGCCGCGAGGCCCTGTGCCTCCCTGAGACCTTGACCAGCTAAGGAGTTGTCTAGGCCTCCTGCAGCTCCCCGACCAAAGCCTGGTGCCTGACCTTCTCCACGGAGAGGGGAATGTCCCTGCCCCAGGGGTCCCTGGGAATTGCCGAGTCAGTGCTGCAAAACTGGGCCAGCAAAGGACAGTTCCAGTCTCCCAGGATACACCGTCCTGGCTCCGTCTCAGAGTAGCTGCTTTCAAATCCTAACCCCACTAGGGGAGCTCAGAGAGAAGGCACATGCGTTCAGTGTTCACACACACATGCACACGCGTGCACACACACACATATGCTTGGCACTGGGAAAGGCATGGGCTAGCGGGTAGGATTCTTGAGTTTTGCGCACTCAGCTGTCCTGGGAAACCTGTGCCACCCCCAAAGAACTTGTTCCCTGTCCTGGGTCTTGAAACCCCCTTTATCACACAGGTGACATCCTCCCCCCTTCTCCTTACAGATCACCTGCTCACGGCTGACCCCACGGACGCCCACAACCTGCACTCTCTCACCTCCATTGTGGACAGCATCACAGTGGAAGATGTCTCTGTGGCCTTCCCAGATGAAACCATGCCCAACTGAGATTGTCTGCCAGGCCGGGCGTCCATGAGAGCCCCCATGCTGGCCACAGATGCCACCGCCCCCGCAGCAGGGGCTTCCTCAGCCAGGCTGTCCTGATGCCAGAGGGCCAGTGCTGGGGCTATCAAATGCCAGCCTATCCCCTTCCTCATCCATGTAAGGTTAACTCGCCACCCAGAGAGGGAACGGATGCTCTCGTGTAGCTGACTCCTTACAGCAAGGAGCATGCCGTTTCCCGGGAAATAGAGCAGGGGACCAGAGTGCCCCTCGTGTATGCCCTGTCTCGGGGCAAACTCAGGAGCTCCCCTTTGTTCATAGTGCAGCCTCCAATTCCACCCCCTCCAAAGAAACAGTCTGAGAGACGATGACAGTGTCCTGACCAGGACAGGCTGTGTGCATCTTCTGTTCTTGTCTTTTCCTGATGCCAGGGGCTGGGCTGGGCCTGCCCTGAATCGAGGGAGAGGAAAGAGAGAGGAACAATCCTCTGTTCCCAAGTCCCTGGGGGGCCAAGCTTTTGCAGTGAATATCGGGAACCTTCCAGTGGTTTTATGTTTTGTGTTGTTTGTAAAGCCGCCATCTGACCAAGGTCTCCTGTGCACAAGTGGCCAGGGGCAGGCAGGGAGGGGGGCAGGGGCTCTTGGGGGTGATTTCTTTTCTTAACTAAGCATTGTGTGGTTTTGCCATTGTTTTGTATTTTTTTTTTTTTTTTTTTGCTAACTTATTTGGATTTCTTTTTTAAAAAACGAATAAAGACTGGGTGCTAGAAGAATGTCTGTGATGATGTGGAGGGAGGGGGTGCCCGCCGCTCCTGCCCCTCCCCCTCCAGTGGTGCAGACACACCTCAGGGGGCAGGCCTGCTAAGGATCGGAGCTGATGGGGCTCCAAAAGCAGCTGGGGCACTACCTTGCTGCTGGTCACCAGGTACTGGGAGCCCCACTCTTTTTACCATTCTGAAGGGAGCGGGGTGTGGTCCACAGGCTGGGTGAGAGCCAGATCCACAAACACCTTGTGGGACAAAGAGGAAACCCTGGCAAACATTCTGTGTCACTCTTTCTTACTCACGGACACCGCAACGGTCTGTGTGCTCCATCTCAAACCCCAAGGGGTCCATCCCAACTAATGAGCATGCTCTGTGCCCAGCGCTCATCCCACAGCCCGCAGGCAGGGTTGTAGGGTGGGAATTTGCAGGTTTTCCCCTCTCCCCGCTCCCTGCCTCTCCTCTGGTGCGAAGTTACCAGGAGCCCTGCAGGAAAGTGGGAGGGGATTAAATCAGCATGACCGGGGTCAGACACTGCCACTTCCTCGCAGGCAGGCCAACTAGCATGTCCCCTTACCAAACCCTTCCGTTCCTCCAGGCCAAAGAGGAATGTGGCCCATGCCCACAGCTCAGAGGATGACGGCAGTTCCGCTGGGGGTGAGGGGAGGGCCTCACCAACAATCACAGGAAGAGAAGCTGGGGTTTTCTTCATATGGGATGCTACCTTCCAACTGCCAGCTGAGGGGAGAAGGTGGGTGGAGAACAGAGAAGATTCTGGACAGAAATTACATAAGGACTAGCTGGGGAGATAGCAGGAGCTAGAATCTGAGTGGCTCGTGAACATCTACTAAAATTTTGATTAATTCCAACTGCTTGAGGCTAAACTTGTCCGATGTATTGCAAATTATAAATTTCAGAATCATTACAGAAGTCTGGGGATTCACAGCGTGGTACACTGTAGCCCCCACCCAATTCTTCAGGGCCCTTGACAATGGAAGTAACCCTGTTTTACCTGCCAGGCTCTGTGACCCATCCTGCAGTGTACCCCTGGGTTCAGCTGGGCCATCTCCCCCACATCTGCCCCTCCTGACTTGCTCCTGAAGAGGGCGGTCAACTCTTGGCTCCCAGAGTTTCTCCAGAAACTCTGCCTAAGGAAGAGAAGAAGGAAACCTCAGAGCAGGCTCACAGACCGAGGTGAGGGTGCAGAAGGGAGCAGCCCCCCACCTGGGGTGTATCTGTCCCAAACAACCAGTCAGGTCCGGGCCAACTGAGAGTCACAAACTGGCCTAATCTGCCCCACTGTGGGATTTTCTTCTTTTTTTTTTTTTTTTTTTTTTTTTTGGGGGGATTTTCTTCTTGAGTTGTGTCACTGTGTTTATAGTCGTACCACCTTGAGAGGGCCGGAGAGGAATACCGATGTCATTTCTAAGGCTCTTAGCTCCCCCTCACTCACCGCCCTTGGAGATGAGGAGAGCCACAAGCCTGATGGCCACACTTTGCTTGTCAAATTTACATTCACTCCCTTACGAACCACTGAACATGCTATGCACGTATTTGGTAAGTTTATTCTTCTTTACCTATCATGTCAGTTGGAAACTGAGGTTCACGTTCACGACCTGGTAAGAATGAACAGTCCTCAGCAAAAGCCATCAGGGTTAATAGTTCCTGAACGTTGTCAGGGGTGGTGGCCATTGTCTACTTAATTCTTCTTCAGTCTTGACGTCCTTAAGCCTTCCACCAAAGAAAGAGAAATGAGCTGCTGGAATCTCACAGGTGTGAATAGCAGACATGGCCAAATGGAAGCCAGCCTCACTCGTTATTTGCACAGAATGAGCAATTGTCATCAATGCATTGGGTCTTTCTTAAACTAAATGCTTAGCCTTCACAATTAAAGTACAGATAAGACTCCAATTAATGAATAGTGAGTGGTAGTTCTTTAGGGAAATTAGCTTCAATCCGGTCTCCAGTGGAAGTACCTGCAATAAATCAAGCCAGGTTAATCAAATGTTACCTAACAATGGGCTTCAGGGAATGCGCTAGAACGAAAAGAAGAAATACTTGGAATTGGCATATCAGTTGTTGAGAGTGTAGATAGGAACTTCTTAGGGTGTTTAGATAATTAGTGTGACCTTCAAGTACTATTTGTTGCTTCAAGTACTATTTGTGGCTTAGATCTCTAACTTCTCAAGGTAATCTATCTCGCAAAGTGGAAAACACTTTAAATGCTGCACCTGGAGGGGCGCCTGGGTGGCTCAGTCAGTTGGGCGGCCGACTATGGCTCAGGTCATGATCTCGCGGTCTGTGAGTTCGAGCCCCGCGTCAGGCTCTATGCTGACAGCTCAGAGCCTGGAGCCTGCTTCGGATTCTGTGTCTCCCTCTCTCTCTGCCCCTTCCCTGCTTGGTCTCTCTCTCTCTCTCCCTCTCTCAAAAATAATAAACATTAAAAAAAAATTTAATGCTGCACCTGGAGAGGGAGGTGGAGGGGGGCAGACAATGGAGGGTGAAAGGAGAGGAGTCCCCTCAGTTCAGGTTCTGTCATGGATAAAACCCTACCCCCAAGATGTCTCCCCCCACCCCCCACCCTGGACTTGTCTCACTGCCTGGCTTCTGGGCTCCAGGCTCGGGCAGAGATGCCTAAAGGTGTGCCGAAACTCAGGAAAGACTGAAGGTTCCAGGTGAGGCTGGGGTCTTGGCTAAGGACCTATAGTCCAGGCCCATATGGGAACCCCAAATCTCCACCCCACGGCAATTTGGGCTGTGCCTCACCCCTCAGCCACGGGCAACAACCAGACCCAGACTCTATGCCTCTTGCTCTGCTTAGAACATCCCTAGGGGAGGCATGTTCTTTCTGGGAAAGAAACCTAGAATCTTCTTTCCTACAAATGCTGACAGAAACATGATGTTGGGATCTCATCTCAAGTTCAGCAGGTCTACAACGAAACTCACATTTCCACATAAGCCTGTTCCTTCCACATTCCCCATCCCAGTGGATGGCAACACTGGGAAGCAGTTTCCCATCCCAAAAAAGTTTTTCTGAGTTCCTTCGGATCTCATCCTGTGGCCAGCTGGTCACCAAGGCTGGTCGATTCTACCTTTGGTCATGGAGGGAGTGAGGGGGGACCCCAGAGGTGTGTAAACACAAGGCCAGCACCTTCCCTCACCTGTGTGCCCTCTCCGGGTCACAGGTTGCTTTGTCCGGGGCGCACCCTGTCACGGGTGCCGGTGGACTCCGCCTTCCCGTACCATCAGTGTTTGGGACGGCATTAGCCTTGGGAAGGATATGGTGTATTGTGCTGTTCTCAGGGAGTTCACAATTTAGGTGAGAAGAAACACAGTCCAAAGACGAACATAAGCCAAGCACCACAGGAGGGTGGGTTTGGAAACTGAGCCACCCAGGCGCTCCAGCACGAGTGTGGGTTTGGGACAGGGAACTGGGGGAGGCTTAGCCAAGGGACAGAGGCTTGAGCTCACTTAAAAGAGAAGTAGAAAAAAAAAAAAGTAAAAAAGAGAGAGGCAAGTAACATTTAGTAAGTGGTAAGCGCTCTTGGCAGATGGTCAGAACTTTTCACATATGTGTCGCAGTTAAGGACGGGGCCCCGCGCTAGCTTTGGGACCTACGTCTGTCTCTCACCAGCTTAGCCTTACAATTAACCACACTTAAGAAGTGTGGTTCTTAGCCTTACAATTTCCTGTTCTGCAAGATGGCGAAGATAACACCACACAGAGTTGTGAGGGCTAAGTGAGCTAATACATTGAGCATGCTTAGAACAGCATCTGGCACACAATAGTTCCCGGTAGTGTTGAGCTTTATTTAATAATCATCCTCATAAGAACCCTCTGAGATAAGGTCGGTTCATTTATTCTCTCGAGCGTGTCTATCGAGGGGATACGGAGATCAAGAAGACAGACCCGAGGGGCTCCCTCACAGCGCGGTGTGGGAAGAGACAAGGAGAGGCACCACACGGCACGGTGGCTTCCAGAGTGCCAGCGAGCAAAGGGTTGTCGCTTCCCCAATTCTGCCGGGGAGGGGCTGGTCCTGCCTTCCAGGTGATGCTCCAGGTGGGTCTGGAAGGTTCGCGCTGCAAAGGCAAGAGGCACTCTTGCTGCCTTCTGCTGATGGGGCTGGCGGACACAGGTTTCTGAGGTCGGCGGACTCAGACTGGTGAGAGGAGGGGCGGGAGCCTGGAGCCAAGTCGCAGGCAGCCTGTCACGCCATGTGGAGGGAGCAGGCCTCTGACCTACAGGCTGCGGGGGCTGCTGCAGTGATCCCGAGCAGGGGGCCTATAGCAGCGGCAGCCCTGGGGGCCGTGGGAAAGGCCACGAGGCAGTGGAGCATGACCAGGTGAGTAGAGAGAGAGAAGGAATAAATCAGGTCCAGCATCGGCGCTCCTCAACTCCCCTGGCACAGGCAACCTGCACATTAACCTCTAGCAACCCCATGGTTATGTAAGTAAACAGAAGGTTACTGACTGTATGTTTTTAAAACTCTGATGTTGACTTCCCAGAGGAGCACAGCCGTAGGACGGTGGAAGAAGCTGGACACGTCAGCTGAACGCTAAGTTAAAAAAAAGACCAGAGCCATGTGTAGGTTGTCTTAAAACCATCGGGTTGTTTATTGGTACGTACACAATCACACTCATACACCCCCGCACATCCACTCCTGACGCACTGGGCCAGTACAGTACTGAGAAGGGAACTGACAAGATACAGCAGGCTGCTGAGGGGGCTTGGGGTCACTGGTGACTCTCCAAATAAAAAATACGCGGACTGTGAGGCAAGGGATACACCAAGACAACAGCCTTCCATCACTGAATGGACAAGTTCTCCTGTCCATCACCTCCCTGCAATACCTCCCCAGATGCCCTGAAGAGACCCAGGTACATGGCCAACCATGACAGGGTCAAGTTGTAGAGGAGAAGATGGGGCTGAATCTCCCACTGAGCTAGTCTGTCAAAAGTCCCCTGACACAGTCAGATGGCTTTGTGATCCCCAACTCCACCAATCTTAGGAACCTGGGGTTTCTCCATAATCTTAACATCCATTACCCAAGGATAGGGGCTTTTTCTCTCCACCCAACTCATTTTCTGCTCAAGAACGCGTCCAGCTCCATTTGCAGCAGCCTGACGGACAGGGAGGGCGAGGAACAACCAGGGAGAACAAGGGCAGGTGGGGGGCCTTGCCCACACCTAGGGGAGCCCACCCAGCCCCGCCCCTGGCAGACCTCTGCTCTGCCGAAAAACAGAAGGCTCTGAGCCCTGGCCTCATCCCAGGCTCCATCACTCCTGCGGGCCAGGGTGCTCTGACCCACTATCCCACCTGCTAGCTGAGCCCCTGCTCAGAACCCAAGTCGATCAGGTTGCAAACCAGCTGCTCGGCCACCTGTAGGTGACGAACTGGCACCTCTCCAGGAAACATGCTCCAGACACGTGTCCTCTCCTCTCACTTGGATGAAGCCCTGGGTTCCATCAACTCCCCCTGAACTTGGGCCCCAAACATGTCCAGGCATTTTGGCAGGACGAGGAAGTGGATTAAGACCGGTTTCTTGGGAATGACATTCCGACCAAACTAGGACCTGTATCCCCCAGCCCCGGTTGCCACCGTGCTGCGTGAGGGAAGCAATTAAAATGGTGGAAGCTGGGTGGGGCTCAGGAATTTCTGGAGGAGGCAGTCCCTGCACACTGAGAGAGCCCTGAACAAGGACTGGCTGATTTAGGGGCAAGCAGCAGAGTGAAGACCTTCATCGACACTGGATTTCCTGGACCTGGAATATGCTCACTAAAGCAGAAGCTTTATTTTCTTCCTAAGAGATCAGGGGAAGAGAACCCCGGACTACCTTTTTCCCACATCTGATTTGAAGGTCAGTGTATCTTCAATCCACCCACTGGGTATATTCTTAGGGGCTGGATTACTAAAGTGGGACAGAGGAGGACAGCAAGGGAGGGGATGCTGAGCAGAATAGACGGCGCATGGGTAGCTCTCTTCTGTCCCCAGAGCCAGGACCCCACACAACCCCCAGCCCTGCCCCAGCAGCAACTCCACGCTACCGCTGGGGTAGGAGGCATTCCCACCACTCTTTGGACTTAAGGCTACTGCAGGCCATTGGCTCTCTGTCCAGCTGACCTGCCTGCACTTCTTACTGGGTATGAGGGCTGAGAGTTTCCCCATCCTTACCCTTGGCCCAAAGCTCAGAGGCCCGTTTTTCTCAGATTCTTCCCCAACTCACATTTGGGATTCATCTTAAGCAAGAGCCTGGAATCACCACCTTAGCCTTCCTCCTCCCCAGCCTCACCATCTGAGGGAGGATGGGGCTTTCTGCAGCCCCTCCCAGCCCCCAAAGAGGTTCTGGAGGCAGGAGCTGCCGTTGTGGAGATAAGGTGGGAAAAGGGACTAATGCTGGGGGGTGCCCAAACCAGATATCAGACAAGTAGGATGTGCACGGGGACCAGAAGGCCCAATAGCCTGAGCAAGGCAGAGTCCGAAGTGCCGTTTTCTTGGAAGGGCCATCCTCAGCCCTTGGCACGGCATCCTGGTGTCTGGTGGAGGTCGCAGTCCAGAACAGGCTGGCTAGGCCCAGAAGAGGGAGGGTGAAGTCACAACCCCGCCTGGGCTACTGCTGTCCTGTCCCTTCTGCAGAATCCCAAGCATGGACAACCTCGAGTCCCAGCCACAGCCACAAGAGACTTACAAAGGACACACGGTGGGACTCAGAGTAGTGGGATGCGGAAGGGGGTGGACGAGTATATTCTGAGATCCAGGGCAACCGGAAAGTCACGACGAGACTAGGAGCCGTGAGAGGACCAGGGAACGAGCAGGAGAGGCCAGGGCCAGCTGAGCCTGTGAAACCCAGCAGGAGGACGCTGGCCCTGGGGGCCGTGGCTAGTCCCGGAAGGCGGAGAGCATGTGTCCATAGAGATAGTGGGAGCGAGCTGAAAGAGAGAGAGAGGGAAAGAAAGAGAGAAAGAGAAAGACAGAGAGAGAGAGAGAGACAGAGAGATGCATTGCACGGTGAGCTGGGAGTCGTCCCTGGGGGTCTGGGGCGCATGCATGCGCAGCGAGCTTGCAAGCGCCAAGCGCCCGGGCGGTGGCGGCGGCGGCGGCGGCAGCGGGCAGGGCAAGCCGGACGAGTGCGGGCGTGGCAGGTGCACAGCGCGCGAGCGGGGGCCGC